CGCGCGCCGCCGGCGGGCCGCGGCAGCTGGAACCCGGGCTACAGGGCATCCTCATCACCTGCAACATGAATGAGCGCAAGTGCGTGGAGGAGGCCTACAGCCTGCTCAACGAGTACGGCGACGACATGTACGGCCCCGAAAAGGTACCAGGGGGATCGGCCGGGCCAGCCAGGCCTATGTGAAGGACGGCAGGCTTGCGGCTGGCTGCCTGTGTACGCACGCGCGACATTTGCCAGGCGCGTGGTGTGGGGGCGTGGCCTTGTCCCTGTTCCCGCCCTTTGGTGAGGCTCTCGCAGTAACGTCCTGTACTACAAGAGCACGCACTTTGTTTTATTTTTGCTTTTCCTTTTCCATTTATTGATGAAACTAGCTCGCACTTACTGCATGCTGTGGGCCAGGCGAAGCGGTCAATAAATGGCTATCACAGTCTGAGGGGACTGCCTCTTTCCTGAGCATTTTGGAGGGAGCCCTGTCTCAGTCTCTTTAATAGGAACTTCTCAATTGTGTAAAATCACAGGTTTTAAAAAGTAAAATCTCTTGTTCCAATACCATCCAAAATCTTGCTTTTCCCACAGTTTGGAAATCATGTTATTGGCTTAAAATTTAGGTGAATATGCACGTGAACATTCCAAACAATTTCTTGAAGGATAGTACCGAGAGATGATTTAACTTTGCATTGGGATTTGGGCGCGGACACAGTACTTAATTCTGCTGAACTAGCTAAAAAAGAATGCTACTATGTGATTGGCTAGAGAGTTGCTTGTGTACCTAAAATACATCCTGGTATATAATAAAGGCTCCAAAAGTTTGTACAATTATTCTACTAATCCGGTTTGATTGGCAACCATATTGGTGGACAGAGAACTGGGCCACAGGTGCGTGTGTCTTCAGTGGTGCCTTGAGCAGATTCTTGAACTGTTTCTGTGCCCTGTTCCTCAGTAGAACAGGAGTAAAGGTTTTTAATTCCATAAATATTTGGTCTGTTTTTACCAAAAGGAGAGTGTTATATCATGCACAAATGTATTTAGTGATGGTATGAAGAACACCCTGATATGATTTATCCTGTGAGAACATTTTCCATTTTGTTGTTGCGATACTTTTGAAAACATTTTGAATTATATCTACCACAGTCTAAGGGAACTCTCCTTTCTTTACAGTTTGGAGGAAGTGGTTTCTCAGACTCTTAATAATAAATTTCGTTGTCAATATTGAGTCATTTGCTAGTGGGAGTTTCACATAAGAAATTAATTATGGTGTTTAAACATGAACTGTTGTGCCATTTCTGCTCATGAGTTTTATTGCAAACAGTTTACAGATAAGGATCAGCAGCTCTCTGAAAGTGAGGGAGATGACGACGATATGGAGGCTGCCTTGAAGAAAGAAGTTGATGACATTAAAGCATCTACAGCGATGAGGCTAAGAAGGTTCCAGTCAGTAGAGAGTGGAGCAAATAATGTAGTCTTCATAAGGACACTTGGGATAGGTTTGTCTGACTAATAACCCTTAAGATTTTTAATGCCATGCTATGGAGGCGTCTCCCTGCCTCAGAGAATACTGCCTACAAAATGGCTTTGTTTGGTTAATCGTTTGATTAGATTCTCTCTATGTTGTATTAACAGTGGGCACACAGAAAGGCAGAATGAGGTGGTAGACATAGCATTGACTTGAGTGGGAAACGTTCTTCCTTTGTATGTAACTTTAGGCAAAACAAAAGTGCCTGTTCTGTCTAAAAGGGGCAGGACTCCCCCTCAACTCCAGCTAGTTGTTGCTATTTGAGAATGTAGGGCCAAATTTCCTAGTATTTTTTTTTAAGTTGGAAATCTGGAGAAGTTTTTTTATTTTGTTGTGACTGTTTACTATAGGATATGTGCACTTCCCTTAGAGAGAGAGGGAGAAAGAAAGTAAGAGAGCACCCCCCCAGGGAGCGGAGGTCACACCACAGTCCTTTCACAATTCATTCTCCTCTTGGAATTTGGGGCATATATGTACATTGACCAGTGTATTTCAGACCTCCTGGTCCAGGACTCTTAACTGCACAGTTGGTTTTTGGGATCTAGCCTCGTTAACCTCAATACCACTTTCTGGCCCAGTTTCTTGACTTTTAAGTTTCATCAACTAACTTAAAAATATTGAAGACACTGAGTAGCCCTAAACTGATGTTTTTATTCATTGCATGGTCTTGAGATTTCTCCCAGGTCTGAGATCTAGACTTATGTACTGATTTAGCCAGTAGATTAATTAAATCTTTTTTTAAGTGACTTGAAGATTTTTGTTTTGTTTCATATTTGTTATTCTGATAGTTGGTGTTATGGGAAAATAATACGTTGCGGTCAGATAAATCAGGATATCACAAAAATGTTAATTTTGGTGTCTACTTAGTTATTTTGAGTGAAAGTAGTAATGTGAAAAGTTAAAATATTAGGTAAAATATTAGTATATAGTAGGCACTAAAGAAATATTAGTTGCAAAAATGACTGGGTTTGCTAGCCAGTGGTGTGGTGGTTAGGCAGCTAGATTTCACATGGCTGACTGTGCAGTTTGAGTCCCAGGCCCTATGGCTTGAAAAACACACAAGGGTGGCCGGCAATGTGGTTAAGGGTGCTGAACTTCCATGTTGCTAACCACAGTTTGAGTTCTGGACCAGACAACTTGCTTTCTCACTTTCACTCTCTCTCTCTTTTTCTCTCTGTCACTCTGTCCCTCTCTGTTCAAATAAAAAAGAAAAAATAGATAGATAGATAAAGTTAAAAAACAACAACAAAAAAACCCCGGTACATGTGTGTGCATGCCCAAAATCCTGAAAAGAAGGAGGAATTGAGGAGAAGGGATTGGAATGTGACAATTTCCCAATGAGAGGTGCTTTCTCACTTTCTATCTTTTTTTTTTTTTCTTTACCTCTCAGGATCTTGGGCACGCACGCACATGCGCCCGGCGTGAATTCTAAGCCACCGGGTCCGGGACGCGAACTGCGGTCAACTACGTGGGAATCCAGCAACATAGCCATTACGCTAACTGCTGGTTCCCCACTTTCTGTCTTTTCTCTCTGTCTCTCCAGTTAGTGTATGTGCCCTCTGGCAAATTAAAAAAAAAAAAAAAAGGTAAATTTTGTTTTGAAATCCATTATGTATACCTCTACTCTTTCTGTCAGTTATACCACTACCAATGTAAATTCATTTTAGAGTTTGAAGACTCTTTAAAGTGTTTTTGAACTTACCTTTTTATTTCTGTGCTGATTTTTTTGTCTTTTAGAACCTGAGAAATTAGTGCATCATATTCTTCAGGATATGTATAAAACCAAGAAAAAGAAGACTCGTGTTATTCTGCGAATGTTACCCATCTCAGGCACATGTAAGGCTTTTTTAGAAGATATGAAGAAATATGCAGAAACATTTTTGGAACCCTGGTTTAAAGCTCCAAATAAAGGGACATTTCAGATTGTATATAAATCTCGAAATAACAGTCATATGAATAGAGAAGAAGTCATCAAAGAATTGGCAGGTTTGTTTCTCTTAGTGATTTTATATAGGAATGTAATAGTAAACTTATTCTTGTTTTTAAGGTTTTTCTTTTTTAAAGATCTAGTCTTACATTTTAAAGTGTAGAACAGTGATATTAAAATGTCCTTGACAATATATCAAACCTAACTGATATTAGTGTTAGATATGAGATGTTATGGTAAAGCCTTTCAAAATTGGGATTGAATTTTCTTTGGGAAAAAAAGTACTCTTATTAAATGTCTTAGGATTACATTTATTTGTATTTATTGGAAGGACTTGATGGAGGGGGGGCTGGTGGTGTGGTAGTTAAGGCAGCTGGATCCAACATGATGGACAGCATGGTGCAAGTCTTGGACTTAAGAGGCTTGAAAAACAACATGTGCAAAAAAAAAGGGAAAACACCTGTACGTGCCTAAAATCCCAACAGGAGGAAGAAGTGGAGGAGATGGTATTGCCGTGTGACCTTGCCCCATGGAGGATAATTTCTTGCTTTCCCTCTTTGTTTGGCAAGTGCACATGCCCTATGGCATACTTTTTTTAAAAAAAAGAAAAGACTCGGAATTTAATCAAAGACCACATAAAAAGGATCAGACTAGTATATTGTTTTAACAAGTCCTCAACAAAGAGACAAATATTTTTTTCTATTCGTCAAGTCTAATAGTATTCTCAGACTAAGCATTTTTCTATTTTTGTTACAGGAATAGTGAGCAGTCTCAATTCAGAAAATAAAGTGGATCTTACCAATCCACAGTACACGGTGGTCGTAGAAATCATCAAAGCTGTCTGTTGCCTGAGTGTCGTGAAGGATTACATGCTGTTCAGAAAATACAATCTCCAGGAAGTGGTGAAGAGTGCTAAGGAGCCTTCACAGGTTAACCCAAAGCAGGGAAATGGGAAAGAAGCTAAATTGGAATCTGGTGACAAATTAAATCAAAATGACCTAACAGAAGGAAAAAATAACCAGCAGGAAGTACCAGAGAATAATGAAGAACTAGGGCAGACAAAACCAGTGTCTGAGACTGAAGTGGTGAATGAGGGAGAAGATAAGCCTGAACTTGCAAATCAAGTCACAGAAGAATCCAAGTCAAATGAAAGTGTCCTCTCATAGGAGGTCATTTGGTGTCGGAGGTGGGTTACTCATCTGGGGTTTCTGAGATGTTGCGGGGGGTTCTATATAAAATCGTGACTGAAAATACAGTTTTTGACCTTTGTGTGCTGTATAGTGCTGTTCTTACAGTAGAGAACAGTGATCATGCTGCCTTGTTGGCGATGTTGGTAGAGACTGTCAGCCCTGTACAGCAGTATAGGCCCACATACTGTTGCACAGGGAGGAGAGGGGTAGGAGGAGGAGGCTGGCCTCTCCCCCACGATTATCATCGCTAGTCTCTCATTATGCACTGCCAGTTGACTTATGGGAGTGATAAAGTTCTGTGAAGTAGAAAATCAGAGGAAAGGTGTCATGGTAAGAAGGAATTTTTATGTGCCATAACTTGGTTGTCTCCTGCCATTTTGTTGTGGACATTTCAAAAATTTGGACTGTGTAGGTTAGAAGAAAATTTTTCTGTGATTTTTTTTTTTATACTTTTCATTTTTCTTTTTATAATGTCTACTTTCATATTTATTAATATATATTTGTTACAAACAGATCTGATGGTCCATCGTTAAAATTTTTGAAGGCAAGATGTGAAATAGAAGAGGACCGCTGTAGGCAGAGACTTACACATGTTTCTGATAAGATTAGGAAGGAAGAATTCTAATCTGAGTTACTCAGCATACCCTCGTACAGGAGACACAAAGAAATTCTTTATAATGAAAGCTACTTCTCAAGGATTTTATTTGGACTTGTAGTCTTAATTGTCCTTTGTGCAGTGTCTGGCATGCAGCTTACAAATTTAGCAATTGCTACAGCTAACTGTAAATCATAGCCATTACACAAGTGTGAGATTTTTTTTTTTATACTTTTCATTTTTCTTTTTATAATGTCTACTTTCATATTTATTAATATATATTTGTTACAAACAGATCTGATGGTCCATCGTTAAAATTTTTGAAGGCAAGATGTGAAATAGAAGAGGACCGCTGTAGGCAGAGACTTACACATGTTTCTGATAAGATTAGGAAGGAAGAATTCTAATCTGAGTTACTCAGCATACCCTCGTACAGGAGACACAAAGAAATTCTTTATAATGAAAGCTACTTCTCAAGGATTTTATTTGGACTTGTAGTCTTAATTGTCCTTTGTGCAGTGTCTGGCCATGCAGCTTACAAATTTAGCAATTGCTACAGCTAACTGTAAATCATAGCCATTACACAAGTAAGGATGTTGATTGTTTTAAAGGCCTTTCAAAATATCAAAACAGCAAAGCTTTTGTTTAAAAATAGCACATTGAGTGAAAAGGCTTAAGAAGCAAATTCTTTAGTAGCAGAATTTATCCCAAAAAAGGAAATTTTTACATAGTTGGCAAGAACTTAGTAATACCAGCAATAGAATGTTAGCACAAGAAACAGTCCAAGAAGTTGAAAAGACTTTATTTCCAGTTTAGTGAGTTGACTTACTGATGACATGTCACAATATGCTAAAGAGATTTTGTGTAATTAGCTGAAAAGCAGCAGCTTCTTCCTCTGGATTGACAAGTCACCAGATTGCACAAGTATTTGTCATCCTATAGCATTTGTAAGTTCTATAAATGATAGTGAAATTTAAAAATACTTTTTCTGCTATTAGGAGTCTCCTGAAACAAAGGCAAATGTATATTTAATGTTGTGTCTTTATATCTGAAAACCAAAGTTCTGTTATCTGTACTCCTGGTACCCCACAGTGGTTGACTGCATGACAAGTTTTGCCTTATAAAAAATGTTGACATTATAGTAGCATGCTGCTGATAGCAAAAACTTGGGAGTGGCCCAGTTGTGTTGGCATCATTGGTACGGTGCTGCTGCGTGAGATTGGTTCTGAATGGGAGGCGTGGGTTTGGTCCCTTGACCAGTCTAGGTGGGCTTGGTACAGTGGCTTGTGCCTATGGCTGGAGAGGAGGCTGGAGCAGGAGCATCATGACATGGTGAGACCCAATCAGAATATCTGTTTGCTCCCCACTCTCCCTATAAGAAAACAAAAATCTTAGGGATAAAATAAAGAAAGTTCTGAATAATGCTTCAAAAATGGTTAACTTGATTGAAGACCTGTTTATGCAAGAATGTTAAACAAACAAACCCCAAAGTAAAATTGGACAAAGAATACACAAATCTCTAACATCCAGAAATCTAGAGGTTATCAGAGGAAGAGTTTTCAGTAGAATACATGAGCTGAAACGTGAATGGCCAAAGCATTTACACAAAAGTAGTAGGCCAGATTTTGCTCAGTGCATTGAAAATGAAGAAGGGCTATGAAAACTAGCTTAATTAGCAGTTAAATATATATCATTGCCTGAATAAGTGAGTAAGTTTCTGCAAGATCCCAAAGAAAAAATATTTCTTTAAGTGACAAGAGTCTTAAATTGAAAAGGAAACTGATTTTAGAACAATCACATCGCCAAAAAAACTCAAAATGTTTCTTCAGCCAGTTGAGAAGGAGAATGAAAGAATCTAAGTAGTCTCAAATCCTACTGAAACCTACCTGGAAGAACACAACCAAATTAAATAGCATTTCCCCTCCTTTTTTCAGTACTAAGATATGCCAAGATAAGGATTTCTCTAAATTTTCTGCCTGAAATTTTGTCAGAGAAGAGAAGGAATTTGGCCATCGTTGGATTTCTTCAAAATAAGAGTATCTTCAACATAGTGCTCACATTCGTATTGTGAGGGTTTCCTGAATTTCAAAGTGTTTTCAGTGCTCATCCTGGATAAAATGATTAAAAAAGACAGACACCCACAAGGGCTGCAAAATAAACTTCAGAATGAGCCTATTAAGGCACTTTAAAGATAATAACTTTTAGAGAACGGTTTATTCTTAAGTTTTAAAGATAAGTTGTATAAATGTTAGGGCTTCCCACACAATTGACTATGCTTATTTAGTGGCTAGTGAACATAGGAATAGATTTCTGTCATTCTAGCTGGTGGTTCTGCTTGTTAAACCAGACCAGAAAGATTTGGGAGAGACCAGAATAGGCAGGACCTTGTTAATGCAAATGGGGATGAAACTTGGTTGTATATCATCAGATATTTAAAATGAAGTCAACTCGAAATGATCTCCAGAGTACTGTTAAGATCATTTGGAGGAACAGGGAGGAAAGAATTTGGTGCCTTCAGTGGACTTGGTCCAAGACAAAGCTACTTTTATTTTCTTAGTGCAAGACAAAGGGACGCTGGGAATAAAATTCACCAAATACCTACAGAACATATACTCTGTGGAACTGAGTTTCTTTTGCTTTGTGAAGCTGCTACTCCAGAATGATTTTAATTTTATATTTTGTTTTTAATTGACTTTTGTATTTATTTGTATCTGGTAAGGCTTGGAGTAAAAGCTTCTTTTCCCCAGCTGTACAGTACTGTGTTCCATTGGAATCTGGACTTTTATTGAAAACTTTGTTTTCAGGTTTATTAGTTGTTTACTTTCACAGTTGTCTGAGTATATTTTATAAATGACAAGATTCCAGGATGGGAATTGAGTGTTCTTTTTTCTTTTAGCTTTTTATTAAAAAAAAAAAAAAAAAAAAAATAAATTAAAAAAAAAAAAAAACTCCAGTATTGTGATTTAGTAAACTTGTTTTGCTCTATAGAAGAGTGTTGAACTTGATATTTTAAAACATGTTCCTCCAAAGTTAGACATGATTCTGAAATACTATTTTTATTTGTATTTTGTTTTTGGTATGGCCAGATTTTCAGCTTGGTTTTCATAGTTCCTGGTATTTTCAGAAAAATTAAAATAAATTTGCTCCCTAGAAATTGGTGTTCTGTACTGTTTATTTCTCCCTCTTGGTAAATCTCTTGACTTGTAGTATTCGTGTCATAAAACATTTTTATATATCAAGCGATGTATTAAAACAGTCATATATGTGATTCTAACAAAAGATATTAAAAATTTATTAATTCCTTTTAATAATTAATACCCCTGAGTATTCCAAGTTTCAGATACTCTGGTGAGTATACTTCAGAATGAGGTATTGTGAACAGTACTTGATTTAATTAAATTAACTTGCTGGCTTTTGAATTACTTATATTCTCCATCTTAACATTAGTATTTTAATCTACCTTGAAGTATTGATTTCATAGGATGTTAAGCAAAAGAAATTCTATTTTGAACATTTCTCTTAGAATAGTTCTTTATTTCAGATTATTCAGGTACAAGATAAATACAGATTCATTGTGTGTATTCTAAGTAATCATTTGATCCCTGCTATTTTAAACACTACAGAAATCAGTCTTTATTGTCAATTTGGTCATTATAACAGTTTCCTTCCCCAATATTTTTAGATATTTATTTACTTATTAGTGTTTGGCTTAAGTACTAAAAATCCCCACTTTTCAACCAAGAAAAGTCTTAAGCATTTTTAAAATTGTCACTCAATAATCAGGAAGCAAGTACTGAAACAAAGCAACCACGCTACTACTTAATCCCTGGATTTTCTTTCAGGCTATGCTCGTCCCCATTCTTGGTCTCTTAAAACATTTCTTTTGATTTTCCCAGTGATTGTCTTTGGGAGTTCTTGAACAAATTCCACCTAATTGACAGAAAAACATTATGAGACACTTGATTCTATTTTTTAAACAAATTTTTCCAGAAGACTTGCCTGCTAGTAAAAGGGAGAGAAGGAAAGTGGTCACACTGCAATTCGTTCTCTTCCATTTTGCCCTGCTTCGGGGATTTTGGTCATGCACGCACAAGTGACTGACTTGCCTGCCTTGCCAAGCTGTTTGGGAATCCAGCGGTGTTGTCAGTCATGTCAGATCCAGCTGCCCTTACTACTATGCTACCAGCCCAGCCCCATTTGATTCCATTTTGACTTAACCCAATTGTCAGTGCAACAGAGAGCTTATATGCATTCCAGGCTGTTTATTAGAGTCTAGAGATGACCTCAGCCTAAGTCCACTGACTTTCATGGACACTAGACACTGATCTGTTTACATAGTAAGAATGACAATGTAGGGCCACAAGTAGTGTGGTGAAGGCACTGGACTCCCACATGGCTGACTGAAGCAAGTCCTGGACCTGCTGGCTTGCTTTCTTACTTTCCTTCTCTCTTTCTCTGTATCTCACTGTTAAGCATATGTGTCCTGTGGCAAGTTAAATAATGATGAATAAAATTAATTATTTTAAAAAATAATGACAATGTAGCTCCATTATAAGGATTTTGGGTACAAAGCTACTTAAATGCTTTGCTAGAGAAAAATAATCCCTTTATCCCGTTAATTTCCCCTTGTTCAAACGACCTAGTCTTCTGCCTCTAGGAAATGCAGGCTACATCTAAGTGCAAAAAGAATTAGTTCTTGACTTCTGAACTTTCAAGAGTTGGGTCTTAGAGGTTCTGAGGGAGATTTTTTTTAGGGATAATTTGGAGGATATATAGTTTGTCCTTTATGTTCTGGCTTGACCATAGAGTCTTTGTTCCCCTCTCTCAAAATAAGATTCTGCATATTAAAATACTCTAGACAACATTTCTGAAAGTTAAATGGTCAGTGATTTGGTGGATCAAAAAAAATGTGTTTTAAGTTTTCATTGCCAGGAGTTACATGTACTAACCAGAGAGAGAGAGAGAGAGAGAGAAAGCACACCCCAACAGGGTGTGGTTAGACTGCAATCCTTTTAAAATTATCCCATCAGGATTTCAGGCACATGTTCACACGCACCTGGCTGGAATTCAAGCTGCAGTCCAGGATTTAGGATCTGCCTTTCTATATGTTGTATTTAGCTGCTGCACTATAGCACCAGCCCTGATTTAGCCAATTTAATGGAGAAAATATGAGTAGTTCTTAGATTGAAATTAGCTACTTTTGGGTTGAAATAATGCCACATGGAATATGTAGAGGATAAGTCAGTATCAACCAATATGATTCCAGGGCTAGAAGGAAACTGCAATGCCATCTCAGTAATAGTTAGCATTATTAGCTAATTAGTTAATGAGCTGATTAATTAATGCACAGTCTTAAATCGTCCTTTGAAAATTTCAGGAAAAATTCCACAGGTTTTTAATTTTTTTTTTTTAACTACTGCTTTCCTGAGTCTTAAATAAAGCCACTTGGGCCAGCTGGTGGCGTGGTTAAGGCACTGTACTCCTACGTGGCAACTGTGGCTTGAGTCCTGGACCTGGTATCTTGAAAGTGATGCTGGTGCATGTGCATGAGTGCTCAAGATCCCAGGAGAATGGAAGAGAAGCGATTGCTGCGTGGCCATCCCCACAGCAGGAGATTTCTCACTTTCCCTCTTACTGTCTGTCTCTAGCAAGTGCATGTGTCCTATGGCAAACATCTAAAAAAGAAATAAAATCATTTGGTACTTAAAGACCTGTGCATTGAATTTATTGGTATTATGGATAGAAGTACTAAGATGAAATGGATGACATTCATAAAAACAAGATATTGGCAGTTCTTTGTGACCACTTTTTTCCCAGTGTGGAATGGGACTAATTAGTCCTATTAGATTCTTAGGGGCCACCCCCATATCACAAAGGTAAAGTGTTATACATGCATAGGGAGCCAGATCCCACAGGAAAAACCAAGATTTCAATCCTGACCCTCCCATGGCTTGAAAAACACTTGGTATGTGTGCATTTGTGCCCTAAATCCTGATGAGATAGAAAAATGGAGGAAAGGGGATTGCAGTGTGACTTGCGGGGCAGTGCTCTCTCTGGTGTAACTACATGCCTTTTGGTAATTGGGAAAAAACATCTTAGTAGTTAGCTCAGTATTGCAGAATTGATAAAAAAAAAGTTAGTTAATAGTTCTAGTTTATTGAGCATTTGTAGTGCCCTAATATGAAAACAAAATTTAAAGCAAAATTCTTAGGTGGGAAAAAAAATCTTAGTTGTTAACTCAGTATTGCAGAATTGATAAAAAAAATATAGTTCTAGTTTATTGAGCATTTGTAGTGCCCTAATATGAAAACAAAATTTAAAGCAAAATTCTTAGGTCTAAACAAATTGAAAACAAACTGTCTTCTATGTATGTAATGAGCTACTATAAAGTCAGGATCTAATAAAATGTATATTAACTTAGACCTTAGTTTGATAACAACTTGTTCAAAGTACTTACCTTTCTTGGATATTTGTAAGGTGCAGTTGATTTTTTCACATGATCTTGAAGCTCAAGAGTTAATTTCTCAAGGTTGGAAAATTTAAAGGGTGCAGATAAGACAACAAAAGCTTTCACCACCTGCAGCAGAAAAGTCAATGTATTTTGCTGTTTGCTTTTCAGACGCATCATCAAGGGTTTGGAACCAAACCTGCTGATCACAGGTACCTATTTGTTAATAGCAGCTTGAATGATGACTGCAAGTGCTAGATATCACCTACCAAAGTTTGTGTACAATTATAAAGTGAGGGTTTAAGATCTAATTCTGGATAAATGCTTTGTGAATAAGGGTGCAGTGGTTTAAGAAAATTAATGACTGAATTCTATTTACATGTCACACATGTTCACCAGTTCAATCAGACTGATTATATTTACTGTACAAGGCAGTCTGATTTACAGATGACTGCCTACTCCATAAATCTATATGTTAGAAGCATGTAGTGGAGAGCAAATTAAGCTTCTAGAAAATACAAGGGTACTTGGGAACCAGCAGTTAGCATAATGGCTATGTCGCTGGACTCCTACGTAGTCGACCGCGGTTCGCATCCTGGACCCGGTGGCTTAAAACTCACACCGGGTGTGTGTGCGTGTGCGCCCAAGATCCCAAGAGGAGAATGGAGGAGAAGGGATTGCGGCGTGACCATCCTCCCTGGGGGGTGATTTCTCGCTTTCTGTCTCTGTCTCTCTCTGTCTGGTGAGCGCACGCACCCTATAGCGAAAATCTCTCAAAAAAAAAAAAATATGTAGGTACTTTGAAAGATTCGTAGAAAAATGGGATTAAAGTACGAGTTTATTTTTGGGCAAAAGAAAAATTCAAAGGCATGGATAGCTGTTACATAATACTCATTTTCTGTGTACTCTGAATACCCATTTTATGTAGTTTGAAGAAAATTTTGGAGGTCTAATGGAAGAATTGTGTATGTTGGTAATCCAATTCAGTAAGAACTGATCTATATGAGGTCTTTCTTGCTACGTATGTATGTATGTGTGTGTGTGTGTGTGTGTATATATATATACACACACACATATATACATATATATACATACATATATATATATATATGTATGTATATATATTGCTTCTCTTTGTAATACTGTTTAAAACCCAGTAATTAGATAGTTGTTGAGGTTAGTAAGCATAGTTTAATTATTCATACACTGATTCTAATTGGTGTTTGCTTCCATTCAGGTAAAATCAGCTATATTGAGAGAATGAGAATATGTTGGCAGAAGGAAAACATTTTGGAGACTAGACTAACTCAAGACTGGAAGGGGTACTAGAGTCTAAGAGTATGGGATCCACAGTGTCTCTACAGAGGGTCACTGGTATATGAGCATGAGATACAGAAAGATGTGGATGAAAGGCAAATTTTTGAAATTGTGCCACTTAACTGGGCCTGTAGGAAACTTTCATGAGGAAGGAAAATTTCTCCCTTCCATACCATAGGGCTTCCTCCTAGAATGAAGACTTTTACTGTTGTTGTTTGAGTTCTCTTTCATTAGATCCTAAACAAGATCATGGGACTTGCTTGGTAACCTGGCCCTGGTCTTATGTTTTCATGTTTTTCTGTGAGAAAATGTACTCTGAATTCCATGACAGTTGTACATATACAGTGTAATGTGCTGCTTTTGCTTATGAATTTTTTGCCACCCCTTTTTAGTAGTAGTTCCCTGATTTTCCTATGGAGTATTATACTAACTTCTTCCTGGTGGGTTGATATCAACCCCAGCTTCCAATGACAGCCAACTGATCCAGGTTTGACCAGTCAGCATATAGCATTCCCTGCACCGCATTGGTTGGAGATGTGCTCTAAGACAGGCAAATACGATCCTGGGAATTAACTTGAAATATGGGAAAGAGCTCCTTCTCTGAGGGGCTAGGAGAGTTGTGGAGTTGTGTAAGTCAAGTTGGTTGCTCTCAAGTGGGACAGGTGTACCCAAACAGAGTCAACAAAGAATAGCAGAACCAAAAATGGAGTGACACTAAATCTTGCTAATTTCACATCAACCCTCAGATACAGCTGTGCCTGAATGCTTGTGACTTAAAACATTTTTTTAATGTCACTAAAATAATCCTAATATACTTGTTTAGGGACATAACTAATTTGTAAAGTTGATTGCTTAATATACATTTTTGACACATAATGAAAATGAAGTGATTACTCTGGACTCAGTCTTCACAGTGGTAAGGAGGACAGAATTAGAAAGTGTAAAATGACCATGTTAATGACATTTCACTCTACCTCTCCTCGAAGTGGATCTGGACTACTGACCACAGCTGATTCCACCACTGCTGGGTGCTCAATGAGTGCGCTCTCCACCTCGAATGGCCCAATGCGGTAGCTGACAAGAAGAAGCCTCTGATCACTACACCCTGTAGGTGGGAGAGTTTTCTCCCTGACAAATTGTTCTTTCTATGAGTGACAAATTTACAAACCCAGAGGATATAATGACATCATCAGCTCTGCCGACAAACCAGAAATACCCATCGCTGTCCATCATGCCTCTGTCTCCAGTGATATAAAAATTTCCTCTCATGGTGGCAGCAGTTTTCTCTGGATTGTCCTAGGAATTAACGATGACATTTGGAGATGAGCTTGGTCAGAATAGACAGGATGTCTTGTGTTGCTAACAGAAATACCTAATACCGAGTGGTAAATAAGAAAAGAGGCTTATTTAGCTTACGGTTTGGCGGTCCAAGGTCCAGACACTGACTTCTGCTGAGGCTACAATGTGGCAGAAGGCAGGATCTTGAGCAGAGTGACTGTCTATGTTTCTGCCTGTTCTGATTTCCTTTTCCCACTTATAAACCCACCAGAATTCAATCATAGGGAATCCTCTCTAATGTCCCTTACCACAAGCAGAGATCCTACCATGAAGGTATAAGCTTTTTTTTTTTTGGTAGAGGTTTTTTCCCATAGGGCATATGTGCTCACCAGAAAGACAGAGAGACAGAAAGTGAGAAATCACCCCCCAGGGGGGATGGCCACACCGCAGTCCCTTCTCCTCCATTCTCCTCTGGGATCTTGGGCACGCACGCACACGCACCCGGCGTGAGTTTTAAGCCACCGGGTCCGGGACGCGAACCGCGGTCGACTACGTGGGAGTCCAGCGACATAGCCATTACGCTAACTGCTGGTTCCCACAAATCCTACTTCTAAAAGAAATGATTTTTTTGGAAAAAGATGGTTTCAAATATAAAAGGTCTAAAAGATTATAATAAAAAGTAAACCTCTCTCCCATTTCCTTAGAAAACAAGACAACCATTGTAACTAGTTTACACATGGAGTCTAAATCTTAGAAATACTACTAGGAGATAGATAATAGTCACCACATGATACCAGCATGAGTTTTGTCATTTGCCTAAGGTTACGTAACAAGACTTGGTGGATATGAAACTTGAACCCATGTCTATATTAAAGCATGAGTAGCACTTCCTGCATTCTCATACCACATATTCAGAGAAGAAACAGAAGGGCCGTGTAGTCTTTATTTTGAGGGCAATTTCTCCTTCTTTGCCAGGTGGTAGGATATTGCCCTTTTCATCTATAATCTAGAACAAAAGAAACAATTTCCATTAACATTTTCTTTGCACAATATGAAAAACAAGTTGTGAGTAGTTACATAACGGATGCCAGAAAACTTTAAAATATTCTCTTTTCCTTATTGAAAACCGGTCGGATATTTTCTCAACCTACCTGAACATCATAGGGTACCACTCCTTTCCCCATTGAGCCAGGTTTAATTTCTTGTCCTTTCTGATTGGCACAAATTATTCCCTATTGAGAGGATATTTTTGGTATAAATATATGAAAATTTTCTGTAGCTATTTATATCATGATAGTGAAACTTATGATTCAGTTTTGAGGGTCTGGCAGGAGCCGTGGTAGTTAGGGCTTTGGACTCCAACATGACTGGAGTCCCAGACTTGGCAGCTTATTTTCTCACTTTCCCTTTCTCTCTCTCTCTCTGTTTCTCTCTGGTCAAATTAAAACTAATAATAATGATGAATAACATAAGTAATTATTTTTTAAAAAGATTCTGTTTTGACCAGTTTTCCTGGTATGCAGTCTCATCCTCTGAAAAATATTAATTCTCACTGGTGTTCTCAAATTTGAGGGTGCATCAGAATCACCGGGAGCATTGCTAAAGCACAAGTTGCTGTGCCTCTTCCCAGAGTTTCAGTAGATGTGGGAATGAGGTCTGGGAATTTTCATTTTTACCAAATTCCTAGATGAAGCTGATGCTCCTGGTTTGAGGACCATACTTTGAAAAACTCCCCTTTAGAGTCCTTTAGTACACCTCAGAATAAATTCCCACAGAGGATCTCAAGGGGTCTATCCCAGCACAGTGGAAACTTGAGCTACTCAATTCTAAGTCTCCCCCTTCCTTAATGTCCCTGACCAAGAGAAGACAGGAAGATTTGTAGAATGGCCATAGTTTCCTTTCAGCCAAACCTAATTGGGCAATTCACAAGTTTTGGTCACTACCAGTAGGGTAAAGTATAATGGAAATCTCTATAAACATTTAGAGCAAGATAGGTCACTTCAGGGGTTCAGTTGATAGTCCTAGGGCTCAAAACCCCTCAAATTCTTAAATTTAAACCCTGCCCTTTAGATATACCACTTCTGTCTGTCCATAGCCCTCATACAGCTCCAGCCCAGTTTGTGCCTTCCACTGTTCCAGCACTTCTGGGTTGAGTGGCTCTCCTCCTGTCAAGCAGTGTCGCAGCTTCTTGAACTTATATCTGAAAAGACAGAGTTGCATGAGATTTTTGGGAGACACATATGCATGGCTTTCACTGCAAAATAATTAGGACATTGAGTAATAAGCAAGGAGCTAGGAGAGAAAAGTCTTAGGAAAGTTCATACAACAAATAATTGTTGAACACCCACTGCATTGCCAGACATTGTTCTAGGCAGACAGAGCACATTAGTAATTAAAACAGATTCCTGACAGAACTCACATTTTTGAAGGGAGTTGCAAATTTAGCTATTAAAGTGAGAAAAGGGGAGGAGAAAACGCCAATAGTGACACTAAGTGCTCATTACAAGTTATATGATATAACAGCTAGCATTAATTGAGCAGTTGCTATGTTGTAAGGGCTTTAGGAGCACTAAGAATCCTCATAATCCCCATTTTACAGATGAGGAAGTTGAGGCTCGGAGAAGTTAAAGCATTTTTCCAAGGCCTCACAAATGATAAAGGGCTGAGTTGGGTACTCTGTACTATGCACTTACCACTTGCCAGGCCAATCTCACCAAGCATGCCACTTTCATTGAATTCTCACCATAATCCTGTGAGGTGACTCTTAATCCTCTTTTGTGGATGGAGTTGACCAGGTTTAGTTCACCTGGAGCATTGCTGAGTGTCCGATATCACACTATTAGTAAGTAGCAGAGCCCTCCCTGTTTGACTTTGGAGCTTGAGCTTTGAACCAGTGACTTTATTAAACTCAGATTTGAGAAGCTTGGAACAGCCCGACTCTCATGCATTGAAGTCCCATATGGGCAGGAGGGTGTGAGTAGATGTGTGTATTCAAAATAACTTTTTTTTTTTTTTTTAAACAGAGCTTTTTGCCTTAGGGTACATGTGCTTGCTGGGGCGACAGGGGGGAGAGACAGAGACAGTGAGAGGGAAAGTGAGAAATCACTCCCCAGGGGAGAAGTCCATGCCACAATCCCTTCTCCTCCATTCTCCCAGGATCTTGGACATATACACACACACATGCCCTGCGTGATTTTGAAGCCACCAAGTTGAGGACTTGAACAGCAGTTGCCCATGTGGGAGATCAGCAACATAACTGCTACGCCATCTGCTGGCCCTCAAAATAAGCTTTGAATAGCACTCAAATTACACTTGAGGACTATAAGGGAGTTGGAATTGACTGGGAAAAGAGATAATTCACATTTGCTTTATTCTCTCTCATAGCACTTTCCATCCTGGGCATCCACACCTTCAAGGCTGTATACATGTACTCATGTTTACTTGTTTTTAGGGTTGCTTCTAAAATGACAGTGTTCTTAAAAATGGTACTGAACAACACACTTTTTTGAGTGAGAATTCTGGAATATTAGGGTCCAGTTGTCCCTGGAGGCTCTCCTAGTGATCTTAACCTGGGGGATGAATTTGCCTCATAAGAGGACATTAGACGATATCCAGGGACATTTTTCATGGTTCCGAATGGGGTGGGAGCAAGAGGTGCTACTGGCATCTAGTAGCTAGAGGCCAGAGATGCTGCTCAATATCCTACAGTGCATAGGACAGCCATCCCCACCCCCATGACACACAATTATTTAGTCTAAAATGTTAATAATGGCGAGACTGAGAAGCTCTAGGCTATCCTGTACCAAAAAGGGGAGACCTGTGGTACTAGATGATAGCTTTTGTTTATGGTTCAAATGGAAATGTCTGCCCAAGTACCTCTTAAGGTCCTTTTGCACAAGCATCCGGTACACAGTGGGTGCACTGCACAAGGTCGTGATGGGGTAAGTGGTGAGCGTCTGGATGATGGAGAAACACACAGATATCAGAATTGGTCAACTGAAGGCCATAACTAGAGATGATGTCTACAACCTCTCATTCTCTTCCATTAATATGCGCCCGCCTAATGTTCATTACTAGAAATTAGAAAGTAAATATTTATCAGTTGTCACAGGTGACAACTACAGTGTATTTGTCTACTGGAAATTTCCAGTTACTGGAAAGAATGTGTATATGTTACTGAAATAGACAATACAAAACAAATTCAACAAGTAAATTGTTCAATTTGAAAACAGCTTAAATTATAAACTGGCTTATTCTACCTCAGGGTTGCAAGTTACCTTCCCTGGTAGAATCTTATTCTACCTCAGGGTTGCAAGTTACCTTCCCTGGTAGAATCTTATAACTTCTTGCTCATGTTATCATGTATAGTACTGACTCTGGATGTGTAAGCCAACTGGAACTTTTCCAGCACCTTTTCAAATAAAAGGCATCAGTCCCTTTAAGTGGATTAAGTAAATGCAAAAGTAGGCACTATTTTTTCCAGATCTTTTCTTTCTTTCTTTCTTTTGCAGGCCTTTTAAAAATATGGACTATTATCTTCCAGTTCCTTAAATCAAATAGTTATCTAGGCATTTTATATTTAGAGAAGTACTAATGATTTAAGAGATAATCTTTCTGGAGAAGTTCTGTGTTGCATAAAATATTGACAATTTGTATTAAATTTAAGCCTTTAAATTTAAGCTCTCAAGGTGTATGTCTAGGCCATCTTTATTTTCATAGATCAAGAATAACTTCTGATCGGTGACTGAATATTTCTACTGGGTGTACCTACTCCCTAGATCCTAATTCCTTTTACTAAATGGAATGTGTTTAAGAACAACATCATTTCATAAAGGTGTTCATGGCACTTAAAAATGCACATATTAGCTTGGTTAAATACAAATGTCATTTTAAAAACAACATTAATCTCCTGCAGGGCACTTTGTAAACCTGATGCAGAGATCCCAATTACTCTACATTTCTGTTAAGACCCTCAAGCCACCTTGTCAGACCAGTTAGCAAAATAATAGGATAATCATAGCTTGTATTCATTCACACACAGGTGTGGTGTGTATTTAATCATATATATTTTGTTAAACTTATTTTGCATGGTTGAAAAATAATTGGTGGAAACACATTTTTCTAAAGGCTAAAGAAACTGGAGGTATCTAATATCTCAATTTAGCTATCTTTGGCTGAGAAAGGAAGGGCAAGCCTGGTTCCCAGAACAGTACTGGGTTCTGAAATTGAACAACGTAAGGAGCTTAGAAAGAGGCAAGGAGAATGTAAGGAGCTGCTCTGGGAGAAAGGAGACCCTGTATTCAGTCTCCACACAGTTCAGATTTATCTGTTGTCTTTGGTCTTTAGAATCAGAAATAAAATACTTGTTTAGATGTAGGCTCTTAAGCAGTCACAGATTCAGGAACACTAACAACTCTTGAGTAAGTCTGGATTTCATGCCTGAGAGTGTTGTGGGTCTTTCCTCTCCACTCTGTTCTCTATGTTCTAAAGCCACAGCCTTGGAAATTTTGCTTCTTAAATAGGAATGGTTTCCAAAAACCCAAGGGGCCCTATATGCTAAGAGACCATTTCTTCATGGTTTTGTGGGAGATAGGGAGATCTATAAAGATATATGTAGCTGGAGGTCACAACTTACATCTAGGAAGGTGTCAGTGTCAAACTGGGCCATTCGGTGGACAAAAACGCAGGCTCCCTGAAGCCAGGAAGAAAACACACTGCCAATGGCAGCCTTGATCCAGCCGGTGTCAGACATGTTCCATATAATATCTGAGGACTTCAAGTCCAGCCAGTACCTAAATGATGAAAAACAACCAAGCAGACCCAAAATAGTTCAATAAAAATTAAAAATAGGAAAGTAAACAAATGTGTCTTTGAGGAGTGGCCTCACTCCAGCACCCCAAGGGCTACAGAAAAGACAAGATGAGAAATTTTACCACCCACTCTTCTTAGAGGGTGTTTTCAGAATCTGCAATGATCTAGAGTAGGGGAGGATACTGGGTTTGGCATGCTTTTCTGACTTTAATCCATTGATCAACAAATATTTACTTAGCAAATATTACATGTTAGGCACTGTTCTATAGCCATGAGCAAGATAGACAGATTTCTACTTTTATTATAGGGAGGCAGTGAATAAGTACACAACAAAGTGAGTGAAATATATAAATAAATATCAGAATTTCAAACAGTGATAATTGATGTTGGGAAAATAAAACAGGGTGATGCTAGAGTTTTATAAAAGGATAGCTTTTCTTTTTGGAAGGCCTTTCTGGGTAGGTAAATTTACCTGGTAATGAGGAGAAGGAGCCAGACATGCTATTATTGTATTGAGTCAAGATCGATTGCTAAGTTTTTGCTTGTTCATTTTCTCAGTTAGATGGTACCATTTGCTGAGCTAGGACTGGACAGGGGTATCAGGAGCTCTAGTTCATAGAGGTTATATTAGAGCTATCTCATAGCCATTCAAGGAGAGCTTTCAATTAGGCAGTTGGATACACATATTGGCAGCTCAGGGAAGAGTTCACCAAAAATAGAGTTTTCCTCCCTACCTTCCACAAAGGGTGTATCCAATGCCGAGGCTGCTCTGAGAGTGCAGGGCCATCTTAGGAGAACCTGTGGTCCCACTGGTGAAATAAATGGCCATTGGTTCTTGACTTCCTGTCTCCACACAGTGGTGCTCTTCAGAGGCAGATCTGTAAAATATGGACCCCAAGATAGTGACTGAAGATGGCAGGTTGAAGATGATATTTCTTTTGCTCTACTACTTGTAATGACAAGAGTTTGTTACCAGAAGATAGTTAAGAGAACTGAACCTAGTCCAACTTTTCCCTGAGAGGAACAGGGGTTGAGAACATCAATACTAATATTTAACAGCTCAAATTTGTTTTTTGTCTGTAGGCCAGAGAGATAGCCAAAATAACTTTCAATATTAATAACAAGACATACATTTTGGGGCCATGTGGTAAAATTGCCCTGTAAGGCAGTCCCACATGTGAAGGTTCCTACTTCGAGTTCAGAGACTTATCTATTTTAAATACATTTTAAAAAATAATTATTTTACCTAGCTTTATTTATAAATAATTATTACTAATTATTTTACTTAGCTTTATTTATTTATTATTTATTATTTTGACCAGAGAGGGACAGAGTGAGAGAGAGAAAGAGAAAGAGAGAGAAAGCGAGAAAGCAAGCTGCCAGGTCTGGGACTCAAACCACAGTCGGCCATGTGGGATTCCAGCACTCTTAACCACCATGCCACCTGCTGGCCCCTGGGACAAAAATATTTAAAAAATATTTTTTAAAAACACAAAAAAACAGCTTTGAATCTTTGTAAATTGTTACTAACGTTTCAGGAGTAAGTTTTTATTATTTAAAGGAAAATCTGTTGACTAAGGTTTATTAGTAATTTTTGTCCACTGTCTTCATCATCTTTGGCAGACACAGCCAATTGCTTACCAAATAGCTATCCCCTTCTTTTCCCTACCCTAATAAAACTGATTTGTTCAGCTATCAGGCAGTCAAGTACTTCAGGGTACTCTATCTTGTACAGCTCTTGGAGGTAAATCTCTTTTCTTGGAGAGCTTTTTGCTATGGGACGCATGCACTTTACCGGAGAGACAGAGAGACAGAAAGTGAGAAATCACTCCCTGGGGGGATGGCCATGCTGCAATCACTTTTCCTCCATTCTCCTCTCGGGATCCTGGGCACACACGCACATGTACCTGCACCTGGCGTGAGTTTCAAGTCACCTGGTCCAGGACTCAAATTGTGGTTGACTACATGGGAGTCCAGCAACATAACCATTATGTATTTGCTGGTCCCTCTTGGAGGTAAATATTGATTCCCTAAGCTAATCACGGCCATGCCTTCACTTATCAGTGATTGGTTTAAGAGTGGACACGTGATGCAGTGATGGTCAATAAGACATATAACTTTGGTGGGAAATATCTCCTTGTTCTCAGCAGGGATGCTGCTTTCTCCCACCTCACACCCTGTTTTTTGGCCTTTGATTATTATTGTGTAAGAACAAGATGTCTGGAACTACTTTAGCCATGTTGGGATCACATTGAGGATGGCATGATAGAAAAATGAATGGATATGGCTTCATGTTAATTTCACTGAACCTCTAAAGTTACCAACCCTCAGTCCATCCTACCTCTGTACTTCATGTTTGTAAGATAAAAATTGTATTGTTCAAGTTGCTTTTACTTGGGTTACTAAAACCACAAGTATTCTGATCACCATTTCTGTGTAAGATTGTCTGCATAGGTTGCTCCCAAAATTCCTCCTCTTGTGTAAAGTATGTCATTCTTTTTTTTTTTTTTTTTTTAATCTGGGCTGGCCTTTAGACTTGCTTTGATAGAAACACTGTGGCAGAAGTTCTGGGACTTCTCAGCTTAGGCTTCAAGAGACTTTGTAGTTTTCATTTTATCTGGAGAAGTGGGGGGATTCGGCCATCAAATAAAGATATTTCAGACTGTCCTACCAGAGAACAAGGTGATGTGCAAGAGAACTGAAGTGCTTTAACCAACAGTATCAAAGCCCAACTTGTGGGTAAACCCATCTTAGATACTCCAGTCTAGTCAAGCTGATGTGGAGCAGAGTCCAGCTACTCTGATGAGCCCTGTGCAAAATTTTAACCCACATAGTTGTGTGTTTTGGGGATGATGTGTTATTCGGTGATGGATAACTGATGTAATATCTAAGAATTTTTGAGACTCATATATTTTTTATTTCCCTGGTTGAAGGGAACCAGGGTTAAAGAAACCATTTTGATTCATATCAATGATGAATGAATAAGACCATTATTCAAACTGTCTTAGGACTGCATAGTGGCACAGCAGTAACACAACACTCAGCGATCTTGGACTCCCACAGGAAGGTCCCAGATTTGCATCCCAAGGCCTCCTGTAATCCAGACTGACTGTGGCTGGGAGTGGATCATGGCATGAAGACCCTATTGAGGGTATCTCTCTCTTTCTCCCTCATGGAAGAATAGAGAAACTTTAAAAAAACGAAACTGTAAAATACATTGTCATAAATACTTTCATTAAATATTTACATGGTGTTCTTGGTAACTTGCTTCCTCCCCACAAAGTAGAAAAAGATCATTCAATTGTGTTGATTTTTTTTTCCCCCAGTATAATTACATAGTGAAGTCCATATGTTGGCCTTAGGGGAGGTTTTCTTCACAGTATCTAATCCTCCGGAGACAATATAGGGAGCTTCATATTTGAACATATCTCAATCCATATGGAAACTTTGATATAAATGGAAACTTTTTTTTTTTTGAGAGGTTTTTTCGCTATAGGGGGCATGCACTTGCCAGACAGACAGAGACATAGAGACAGAAAGCGAGAAATCCCCCCCCCAGGGGGGATGGTCATGCCGCAATCCCTGCTCCTCCATTCTCCTCTCGGGATCTTGGGCATGCACGCACATGCTCCCGGTGTGAGTTATAAGCCACCGGGTCTGGGACGCGAACTGCGGTCGACTACGTGGGAGCCCAGCGACATAACCATTATGCTAACTGCTGGTTCCCTGGAAACTTTGATATAAGGTTTTTAATTCTTTTTTTTTTTTTTTTAACTGAAAGAAAACCTGTGAGTGACAGGGAAGTTCTAAGTAGTGATTGTCTGACTTGTCTCTCATTTCTCTGAATGCCCGAGTTCTAAGTTATGACTTTCCTAATTTTCAGTTTATTAAATACTGATAACTTCCAGATTTGTATCTTTATATTTTAAGCCTGAAATTACACACACACACACACACACACACACACACACACACACACACATTATCCTAATCTCTAAACTCATTATCCTAACCACCTCTTCTGGCTCTTTCTCCATCTGGTGGTACCCCGCCCACCCAGTCACCTAGGTAAAACAGCAGAAGATCACTCTTTTACCTCTTAACCCTCCATGTCCAGCCAGTCTCCAAGTCCTGCTCACTCTTTAGTTTACCCTTTTATCCCATCCTATTTATTAGAGCTAAGATTCAGGTCTTCATTGTCTGTTCCCAAGATTAGGCTCTACTATCATCTCTCTGATTCCAGTTTGGTCCTCTTGAATTCATTCTCTGTGAATTCAAGAAAACTATTTATAACCCATACCCAACCGTGACACTTTTCTTCTTAAAACCCATCAGTGGGCTCACTTGTATACCGGGTCGAGTTTAAGATTTAGTAAGGTATATGAAATTTTCCATGGTCTTGCCTCTGTTAGCTCTTTTGGGTTTTACTTGACTTCATATTTTCTTCTCCATCTACCTAAAACTACTTGTAGTCCATTCCCTGCACACCTTAGGGTAATTTTTTTTGTTTCTTCTCCCGTGTCTTTGCTCATGCTGTTCCAGTCCTGAAACACCATCTTGATGCCCTCAAGATGACAATAACGTAATCCAGAGTTCTAGACCCCCAGGGCCAGTCTATTATATTAGTATGGGGAAGAAAAACAGAGTCTGGCCTATAATTTTGACTTTTTTCCTATCCCATTGTGTATGTTCTTGACAGTATTCATGGACTTCAATCCTTGGGAGGCAGAAGGAGTATAAGTCTTAAAATAGACTCTTTGTATAGAAGATTGACGTTAGGATTTGCAATTAGCCTTCATTATTGCTGTGTGTGGTTTTGTGAAAAAAATTGGATGACTATTGGCAATGAGACAATTATCGCTTCTTTAGTTTTAAGAGAAATAATCCATGGCCTTTTGGGAGATATGAAACTCCACAGTTGATTAAAGTGGAAATTTCCTCAATCTTGTAAGTTTATTTTATTCATGATAGAGAACATATGGTCATGCATGAGAGAGAGAGGGACAAAGAGAGAAGCAACCTCAACAGCTCAACAAGGTCTTGTTATGTTATGGTCCTCCTCCCCTCTTAAAAACCACCCCCAAAATGTGAAAATTTCAGTTTGAATCCATGTGAGCTTAAAGTTCTTTTGCTTTTGTGAATGTTGTGGCACCTTTAAGATTCTTGGGGATGCAACAGAATGTTGTAGAGTTGTTTAGGTTAGAAGTCTACAACTGTGGTAGTGTTACCAGGGAGTGTGCAAGGCAGCTGGGATGGGGAAGAAGATAGGATAACTTCAAATTATATGCATTTTTAGTCATTCTCTAAAATTTTTATTTTTAGTAACACATGAAAGTACTTGTATATAACCTAAATACAAGTAAATTTAAGTTTTAGGGTAGTGTATTAAAATATTTACTGATAGAAATGCATATTTGAATAATCAAGATAGGACTACCTTCAGAATCACTGCTGAATGACTTAACTTGAAAATAATAATAGCAGTTCTGATTGCTATAATACTTAGAGAATGACTACTGTGTGCCAGGTATTATGTAAATATTTCTTCTACAACTTCATGATAGTTACTATCATTATACCCCTTTTATGGATTAAATGTAGCTTCAGAATTGTTAACTGATTTATTCAGGGTTGCATAGCTTATAAAAAACACAAACAGGATTAACTAGTATGATCCTTGGGAGAGAATTTGGGAGTTGGCTAGTAGGATTTGGTTTACATTAATTAGTAGGACAAAATTTCCTTTCAATAAAGAAAAGCTGGCCTATATTCAAAGCTGGTTTATATGTTTTCTCTTTCTATAAACTTCTCTGGCAGAAATAAAACAAACAAACAAACAAACAAACAAATACATAAACTGTTTAACATCTCTTTCAAGGATAATATCATTAATTAACATTTTACCAACTTTTTACAACATAGGAAGCCCTTTCTCACATAATAGCTTATTTCATCTTCAAAATAGCACTTGCATTATAATTATCTCCTCAGAAAACTGAAGTTAGTGACCTGTTTTGTGTATTTTGTTTTCTTTTTGAAAGAGTTTTGCTAGACACAGAGAGACAGAAAGCAAGAAATCACCCCTTAGCAGGGATGGCTATGCCACAATCCCTTCTCCTCTTGGGATTTTGAGCATACATGCACACACACACATACATACACTTGGTGTGTTTCAAGCTGCCAGGTCTGGGACTCAAACTATGGTAGGCCACGTGGGAGTCTAGTGCCTTAATTACTATAACGCCTCGTTTTTGTTTTTGTTTTTTTCTTTTCTTTCTTTCTTTCTTTCTTTTTTTTTTTTTTAAGTTTTTCTATAGGGTGCATGTGCGTGCTAGAAGGAGAAATAGAGAAAGAAGAAAAGTGAACCAGAATCCCTCCCCCCCACCACCACTGGAGTTATGACCATGCTGAAATCCTTTCTCCTCCAATCTCTTCTAGGGATTTTGGGCATGCATAAACACATGCCCAGCATGTTTTTCAAGCTGTTAGGTCTGAAACTGGAACTGTGCAGTAGGATTCAATGTGGGATTCAGCACCTTGACTGCCATGCCACTGGCTGGCCCTAGGTGATCTATTTTGTTCATTCTTTCAGTAAAAATTTCTAAAGCACCAACTGTGTGTGGAGAACTGGGAAAGAATGATCAACTAAACAGATAAATAAAACACTTGGCAAAACAAAAACAAAAACAAAAACAAAACACTTGGCTTTCTGAGAGCTTGTATTTTAGGACAGAGTTCAGTAAGCTTTTTCTGGAAAGGACCAGATAGCAAATATCTTAGTCTCTGTGGGTCATACATTCTCTGTTGCAGCTATTCAGCTCTGCTGCTGTACCATGGAAGCAGTGGTAGACAATTTGTAAGCAAATGAACATGCTGCTTTCCAACAAAACTTTATTTACAAAAATGGGTGGTGGGTCAGATTTGGCCAATGGGCCCTACATTGCCAATCCCTATTATAGAGAAGGAAAACGCTCAAAATAAGGGTACAGATGACTAGGCAGATAATTTAGATAGTGATAAATACCATGAAGACAACAAAGGGTGATGTGATAGAGTGACTCTATCTAGATAAAATGATAAGGGAAAGCCTCACTTATGATAAAACATTTGAGCTGAATCAGACAGGAAGGAGCCAGTTGTGAAAAGAACTAGAAAAGAGTGTTCCAGGCAGAAGAAATAGCAAGTATAAAGGTCCTAAGGTAGGGCATGTGTGAGGAACAAAAGTGAGAGTGCAGAGAAAATGTCCAAGAGTTAGGCCAGGGCCACGTCACACAGGATACACATCACAGGCTATGATGGGAAGCAGAAAAATGGAGGCAGAGGTATATCCCTTCCTTCTCTCTAAGTCCTTTTGTCAGGTCATTGTTTTTCTGGGAAGGAGCCTAGATTTATTCAAAGTATTGCAGAATCTTTGGAGGCAAAGAGACTCCCACATGTAGCTGTGATTTGTGTTACTGCTGTTGCTGTGGTTGGGCTGGGAAACTACTTACCGAAATAACTCCTGGAAGCTGAGCCACCCATTACGGCTGTGTGGCGAGACCAGAAGTTTGGTCTTCACGTTGGGACACTCTGACACAATGGACTCTACTGCCGGGGCTACCTCCTCACTGACCACGATGCACTTGGCCTTGGACACTTGCAGTCGGTAGAGGATGTCTTTTGCAGTCAACTGGGTTGTTCCTGGCATGAAGACAAGCCCTGGGAAGGACAGTGGGCCTTGAGCTTAACAGAACTGTGGTGGTTTAAGTAGGACTCTGTTGACTGAAAAACTTGGGATTTGTATCTGGGTGGGGAGGAGATTCAGAATCTAGCCTTCAGCCACCTCCGCCTTCATCCCCAGGGACATTTCACAGGACCCCAGTGCTGGGAGATCCTTGGAGCACTGGTTTTGGAGTCTAATCCTGACCTTGGAATTCATTAGTTTTATGATCTTGAGCTCTCTGTACTTTCCCTTCCTCATCTGTAAAATGGAGATAATGTCTCCCATTTGAATTATCTAGCAGATATTAGGCATTATAATGGTGGGCTATTATTATGTGTAATTTGAATCATTATTATGTATACTTAAACAACACTTTAAAATTTGTATTTTCTGGAACATTATCTCATTTGATCCTCTGAACCAGTGGTCTCTAAAGTGAGTTTTGCAAGATGATCCACTGGAGATGAAAAAAGAAAATAACAGAATTTTAATTTAAAAAGATAAAGTTTGCTAGAGGACATATGCACTTTCAAGGAAAATGGAGGGAGATACAGAAGGGAAGTAATAAAGTATCCCCCCGTGGGGTATGGTCATGCTAAAATTCTCTCTTCCATTTTTCCTTTCAGGATTTTGGATATGCTCACATATTCACCTTCATGTTTTTCAAGGACATACAGCTGGCTGCCCAAAAAATAATTTTTAAAATTATTGAAGTATTACTTTTAATGTTTTTATCTAATTTTTGTGTATGTTTTATTGTATGCATACTATATTGATGCAATTGAACAATATTAATAACTATATCCGAGTATATGTGCACCCTAAATATTTTTATTAATAGATTGTACAGTGTAATATGCTCAGAGACTACTGTCCTAAGCAAACTGGTAGGTCCATTCAGTTGTTGCCTTTTGATGATATATGAGATTTGGTCATAGCTATTGAGTGATTGAACCAGCCCTCAAATCTGAAAGTCCCAGAGGTCTGGCATCATTGAGGTTTTCTTAGGCTATGTTGATAATACTTGATTTATCATACTTCCTTATTTCATTCTAAACATTGGGCAGAGATGGGCCTGATTGTTAAGTACCAGTTTCTTATGAGAAGAACATATATGACAGAATTAGATGAAAGACAGGAGAAGGTAGTTTGCACTTTCTAATGTGAATCAATGGAAAGAAAATACAGTGTATTTAAAGCATTACAAATAACCACTACTTTTTATTGAGCACTTACTATGTGCCTGGTATCTCTCTTAAAATTAATCTCAGGAGAGGTAAGGGGCAGGCCTTCAGAAGAAGACTCCACCATTGCTCCTGAGAACTAGTGATTTCAGGGAAAAAAGAGAAATGAAGATTTTCTACTGATAAGTCAGCATCCAGCCCCAAACTTGAGTGGTAGGGAGCCCCTCTAGCCTTCTTTCTGTCTCTATCTCTGTCTCTGTCTCTCTCTGCCTATCTCTCTGTCTTCTCACTTTTTTTTGTAATTTTTCCTATTTAAGATTTGTTAAGGCAAAGTATTCTCTTGGCTTTCAGTTCCTCCTTTATCTTGCTAATAATCCCTTCCCCCCACCCCCCTCCAGGAGAAGCAAGGGGCAGGCCTTCAGAAGAATGCCATAGCACACCACACAGTTTTTTATTTTTTGCTTTTAAAAAAAGATTGGTTGTTTTTTCTTTTTTTCCCTCTTTTTCTCCCTCTCTTTTTTCCCTCTCTCTGTTTCCTTTTTTTTCTCTTTAACTCATCACTCTGCTCCTCCATTCACTGTGTTTCTAGACTGACCTAAGGGAACCATAGCCAAACATCCAAATGCTTTTAGGGTTAACATATCCCTCGATATGCACTGAATCTGCTGCACAAAGGGATAAAAGCAGAATGGCAAAGAGATTCCAGATCACTTCCTTCTGAACGCTCCTGAATGCTCAGATTGAACTTCAAGAATTAGGAAGAAACACACCATCCATCAGATGACTGGAAATCACTGAAATCACAAGAAATATGGGAAAGCAAGAAAATACCTCTCCTTCAAGGGAAAAGAATAACTCCTCTTCATCCACAGACAGTTCAGTGGAAATCATGGAAATGTCTGATAAAGAATTTAGAATATTCATAATGATGAAGCTAACAGAGATGGAAGAGAAATGAAGATTTCTCTTCATTTCATCATGAGAGACAATGAATGCAGAAGAGGTAGGAGAAAGGAGCTGATGAGTTCCAGGAGGTGAGGAAATTCTTGCAAGATCTAAAAGAGGAAATACACACTATAAAAAATAATCAAAGGAACCTGTTAGAGATGAAGGCTGTAATACAGGAAGTCAAAATCTCCCTTGAAAGTATAAAAAGCAGACTAGGTCATACCAAAAATTGAATCTCAGATGTAGAAGATAAATTTGCTGGCCTAGAAAAATCCACCACAAAGACTGAAAAAATTATCCCAAAAAATCAGAATAATATACGAGAAATACTAGATATCATCAAAC